GGTTTCCTCCAAATAAAGTATTCTCCAAAAAATTTTATAGGTTCATGATAATATTTTTCATTCCAAATTTTTTTTCTATCCAGACTTCTAATTGTTTAATTTTTTTTATTGATTTAATGCTAATAAAATTTAAAAAAAAAAGATAATTTTTAAAAAAACAACAACTTTGAATGTCTAGAACAGGGTTTTGGCAACCTTACCATCTTGTAAATTTGTATTTTCCAAGCAAAATTTCTTGCATAACAATTGTTTTGGTTGGACTGTCAAAATATTTCCAAAAATAATACAATTTCAAGAAGATTTTTTTCTTTTCAAAACTGCTCATTTGTTGGACTATATAAATAAAAAAAAAAAAAAAAAACTATTTTTTTTATATTTTCTATTATTGTACATATTACTATATATAAAAAAAAACTGGTGTGGGGCTGAGTGGTTAGAGCATTCCCTTTCTGACCATGAGACCTGGGTTCAAATCTCACCATGGTCGATTTGTCAGGAAGGTGACTTCTTGATGTTATCAGTCTGGAGGGGGACAATCCCAGCATGCAGCACCTTTGGAAAGTGCCTGAAAACCATATCACGGGTTGACCCAAGCCTTGTGAGTGAAATTGGGTAGACAGAACCCTTGGGGGCCATTGATAGCTGTGCTAGCACAAAGTCACAAGTCATCGTGACTGAGGGTTTGAGTGTGCTGGCCTTGTTCAAATTGTTGATCACACTAGATAACACGCTCTCTCCCAGAAACTGTAACTAAGGTCTGCTCAGCATAGTTGCAGTATAAACCACAGGTTGGCTCTGTGGGTGTTGAACAAACACAAATGTGCCTGAGCAAGCGTCTGCAATAGGGATTGGCTAGCCAATTAGTAGACAGGTATCCTCAAATATATACTATATATATATACATATATATATATATATATATATATATATATATATAAATATATTGTAATATTTATTTTTAAAATTTTAAAAGAAATTTTATTTAAAAAATAATTCAATATTATAAGTTTATTTTACAAACTATATTTTAATGAAAAATATTTTCTGAATTTGTCCAATCAAAATAATTATGAATTAATATTTATCTTTTTATTTGTATATTTATATATTCCATTTTATTTATTTGCCTTTTTAATATTTTTAATCATTTGAATTCAGAATAAATGATAAATATATATTTATATATAAATAAACAATAATATATATATAAAAATTCATTGTTTATTTTTTTTTGAAAGATTTTCTTTAATTTTATTTAAATTTATCATTGTTTTATGAAAATTTAATTTATTCAAAACATAAATTTATTTAAGATTAATTTTCTTAAAAACAATTTCATGTTGATTGGATTGAATACAATATATATATATATTTGAAAATATTCACATCATTTTATTTTCCATTATATTTATAAATTATTTTAAGATCTTTAAATAATTTCATTTTTCTTCATTTTTAATTTAATTTTTCATATATATAAAAAAACCTCAAAATTTAAATTTTTTGTTATATTTATATATATATATATATATTTCAATATAAAACTAAAATTTCATAATTTCTTTATGAATAAAATAAAATATATATAATATAAAATATATATTTATATATTGATTTTTGTATTTATATATATATAATATATTTCTTCTGTATATATCTAAATAAATATATAGAAACAATGATTTATATCAATGAAAATAAAATATATTTAATATATATATATATTTTTATATATATATTATTTATAAAATATTATTTATTATAAAATATTTTGAAGAATTTTATTGTTTTTGAATGCATTAAATTTTTTTATAAAAATCATTTATTTTTTTCTATTTTTAATTTTTTTTAAAATTCCTTGATTTAATTTATTTGGAATTTATTTTATAATTTGTCAATTTAGGTCTCCATATTTTTTTTTAATTTTTTTTTTATTTTATATTTTGAAAAAAAAAATTTGAAGTGAAAACAAATTAAAATAAAAATTTTTATTTAAGTAAAATTTTCATTTTTCTTTTATTATTCAATTTTTATATAAATTTTTTATATTTTTAATTGTTAAAAAAAATTTTTTTTATTTATCCGAAATTTTTTATTAGATCAAAAGTTTAAATTAAAATGTTTTCTTTTTTAAGAAAAGTATTTGTTTAAATTATAAACATGATTTTTTTTTTTATATTTTTATATTTATTTTTATATATTTTTTTTACTATATTTAAATCAAAATTTTATGGAAATTTGATATTTTTTTCGCGTTTTTCCTATTAATTTAAAATTTAAAAAAAAACCCCAAAAATTTTGATCAAACCAATCAATTAAATATTCAAAAATATAAATTTTATTTACATATTTATTTTGTTTTAATTTTTCTCCTATATTTTATGTATATTTTTACTGTATATATTCATAAATTTTGTTATTTAACAAAATTTGTAAATCAATATATTGTTTAAAAAAAATAAATGTTCTTTTCATTATTTTATTTTTTATATGAAGTAAAATTTTTTTATTCTTTTCAAATAAATCTTTTTTATTTTTTAATATTTATAAATTAATTTTTTTATATTTAAAAAATCTTCTTAATTTCAGTGAATTCAAATTTGTTTTTTAAGATAGTTTTATTTTTTGATTATAAAAATTTAAATAATGAGAAAATAGTTTTGATACTTAGTTTGTTTGAGTTGGGGAAAAAAAACCATTTTTTTTTTCATTGAATCTTTCATTAATGAATGTTTTATGGCTAAAATAAATTTATTTGTTCTTTTTTGATTCATTTTTTAAAGATTTCTTTTTGACATATTTTTCATAAATTAATTTTTTATTATTGGTCAAATTATGCATTCTTTTTAAATATATTTTTAAAATCCATTTCATATCTTTGTTTTTAACTCAATTTCTATGTCTTTATACAAAATTTTTAAAATATAATTTTTCTTTTAATTATCAAAAAACTTTTTAAAATTTCATTTGCATCTTATATTTTTAAATTAAATTAAAATTCTGAATTGAAAGTTGGCCTAAATTAAATGATTGCTTTAAATTTAATTTTTAAATATATATTGAAAATTTTTTGTTTTTTTTTATAAAATTTTTAAATTTTATTTTTAAATAATTTTTATCTAATTGAAAAATTTTTCTCAATTGTTGTAATCTAAATTTTTTATTTGTTTTTCTTCATTTTTAAAATATATAATTAAATATTTATCTCATTTTGTTTTTTTTTTTTTTTTTTTCATTTGTTTGTATTTTTTATGTAAATTTAAAATTTTAAAAAAAAAATTCAAAAAAATGTTTAAATATATAAATAAGAGATTCACATTAATTTTTAAATAAATTAATTTTTTTATTTCTATTTTGTCTTATAACCTATTTTTATATATTTTATTTATATTGATTATAAATAAACTTTTGCATATGAAAAATAATGTAAAAATTCAATCTATTTAGTTAAATTATCATTAAAATTCCCCAATTTTTAAGTTTTGTATTAAAAAAAAAAAAACCAAACTGTTTAAGGAAAAAATCTTTTTTTATCATTTTTATAAAATATTAAATGATTTATATATATATATATATAAATATATATATTTATATATATATACTATATATTCACAAATAAATATACTAGATAACTATATAAAATATTATTTTATTTTATTGCAGATATTGATATTTTTTTTTAAGTTTAAATGTTAAATTTATAATTTTTTTTTTGGAATGGTTTTGATATATATATAATATAATTATTTTTGTATGATTTATAATTTTTTAATTAACTCAAATAAAATTTTTTCCCATAAATTTTGATATCAAATTGAATTTATTTGATATATATTATCTAAATATATAAAAATTTGATAAAAAACTTTAAAATATCAAATGGAAAAAAAATTTTAAATTGTATTTAATTTCCAATTTGTTTTTTTTTATAATGAATAAATTATTTTTCCCAGCTAAAATTAATAGTTAACAAAGTTTTTTAATATTTTTTTGAAAAAAATATATTTTCAAAAAAATTATTTTTTTTTTATAAAAAATTTTAAAAAACATCATGTTTTTTTTTTTTTGTAAAAAGAAAAATAAAAATTTCTCATTATAATTTTTATTGCAAATTTTTTGATATTTATAAAAAAGATCAAAACCAATACATCTTAAATTTTTTTTTTAAATAAAATAATTTACTTTTAAATATTTTTGCAGATATGAAATATTCATTTATTTTAGAATCAATTTCTATTGACAAATGTTCAAAATATTTAATATAAAATTGCCTATATATATAATTATATTTATATAATAGAACCAATTTTTTTTAAAAAAAAATAGTATTAAATAGATTTGAATTTAAACTGTATTTTTTTTTGCATGCATTTTTAAAAAAATATTTTTTTTTTTAAAAACTAAACTTTATACTTTTCAGATGCCATTGATTTTTTATTTCAATTTTTTTTTTTTCTAATCATGGTTTTTATTTTCATTATTTTTTTTTTAATTTCATTTTTTTAGATATGAAAAGCAAAATTAAATTTTTAGAGAAAAATTCCCAAAATTTTCTTTTAAAATATTTTTTAATTGGATTTTTTTTTTTGGGTTTTTGTTCTTTTAGAATTTTTCAATTTTTTAATGTTATTTTTATTTAAAATTAAATTTTTCCATTTTTATTTTTTTTAAATTTTTGTTAATTTTTTTTAAATTTTCTTAAAATTCTAAATTTATTTGTTTTAAATTTCATAAAAAATTTCTCATAACTTTGTTTATATTTTTTTAATATTTTTTCAAATTTCTTTTTTTTTTTTTTTTTTTTTTCTTTCTCAATTTTTTCCTCTTTCTTTTAAACCCTTTAATTTTTTCTTTTTTTCATACATTTTTTTAACCTTTTTTTTTCTTAAATTGATAACTAAATATTCAATGTTTATTTTTTTTTTTTTTTCAAATTTCTTTTATTGTTGTTTTTTTCTTTTTAAACTTTTTTTTTTTTTTTTTTTTTTTCTTCTTTCAAGTTCATCCTTTCAAAGTTTTTCTTTTTTCATTTCTTTTCTATTTTTATTTCAATCTTTTTTCTTTTTTCTTTTATCTTTTTCTTTTTTTATTTTTCATTTTTTTTTTCTTTCTTTCCTTTTCTTTCCTTCTTTTCTTTTCTTTTTCATTCTTTTCTCTTTTTTTCTTTCTTTTTTTTTTTTTCTTTTTCTTTCTTTTCTTTTCTCTTTCAAAATTTTTCTTTTTTTCTTTTTCATTTTTCTCTTTCTTTCTCTCTTTTTTCTTTTTTCAAAATTTTTTTCTTTAAAAAACTTTTTTTTTTTCAAAAAAAAAAAAAATTTTTCTTCTTTTCTTTCATCTTTTCTTTTTTTTTCTTTTTTTTCTTTTTTCTTTTTTTTTCTTTCTTTTTTTTTTTTCTTTTTCTCTTTTTTTCTTTTTTTCTCTTTTCTTTTTTTTTTCTTTCTTTTTTCTTTTTCTCTCTTTTTATTTTTCTTTCTTTTCTTTTTTATCCTTTCTTCTCTTTTTTTTTCTTTTTTCACTCTCTTTTTTTCTTTTTCTTTTTTTTTTTCTCTCTTTTTTTTTTCTTTTTCTTTTTTTTTTTTTTTTTTCTCTCTTTCTCTTTCTTTTTTTTCTTTTCTCTTTCTTTTTCTTTCATTCTTTTCTCTTTTTCTTTTTCTTTTTTCTTTTTTTTTTTCTCTTTTTTCTTTCTTTTTTTTTTATCTTTTCTCTTTTTTTTTTTTTTCTTTTTTTCATTTCTCTTTTCTTTTTTTTTTTTTTTCTCATTCTTTTCATTTTCTCTCTTTTTCTTTTTTTCTTTTTCTTTTTTTTTTCTTTCTCTTTTTTTTTTTTTTTCTTTTTTTTTTTTTTCTCTTTTTTTTTTCCCTATTTTCTCTCTTTTTTTTTTTCTCACCTTTCATTTCTTTTCTTTTTCTCTTTTCTTTTCTTTTCTCTTTCTTTCTTTTTTCTTTTTCTCATTTCTCTTCTTTCTCTTTTTTTTTCTCAAAAAAAAAAAATCTTCTTTCTTTTCTCTTCTTTTCTTTTTTTTCTTTTCTCTTTCTTCTTTTCTTCTTTTCTCATTTTTTCTCTTCTCTTTTTTTTTTCCTCTATTTTTCTTTATCTCTCTTTTCTTTCTTTCTTTCAATGGTTTTCTCTCTTTTTTTCTCTTTTCTCATTTCACTTTCTCTCTCTTCTCTTTCTCTTTCATTTTTTCTCTTTTTCTTTTTTCTTTTTCCTATCATTTCTCTCTCTTCTTTTCTCACTATCTGTCTTTCTCTCTTTTGAATTTTTTTCTTTTCCTCAATTTCTCTCTTTCTTTTTTTCACTTTTTTTCAGTTCTTCTTTCTTTTTTTTTTTCTTTTCTCTCTTTTTCTTTTTCTCTTTTTCTCTTTTTCTCTTTTCTTTCTTTCCCTTTCTCTTTCTCTCTTTTCTTTTTTCTCTTTCTATCATTTCTCTTTTCTCTTTTTCTTTTTTCTTTCTTTCTCTTTTTTTTTCTTCTATTTTTCTCTTTCTTCTTTTTTCTCTTTTCTCTCTTTCTCTCTAAATTTTTTTTTTCTTTTCTCTTCTCTTTTCTTTCTTTTCTTTCTCATTGAATCAAAATCTCTTTTTTTTCTTTTTTCTCTTTTCTTTTTCTCTTTTCTTTTTTTCTCTTTTCTTTTTTTTTTTTTTCTCTTTTTCTCTTTTTTTTCTCTTCTTCTTTCTTTTTTAGATTTTTTCTTCTTTTTTCTCTTCAAAATTTTTCTCTTTTTTTCTTTTTTTTCTTTTTTTCTTTTAATTTTTCTCTTTTCTCTTTTTTCTTTTTTTTTTAATTTAATTTTTTTATCTAGATCTAAACTTATATAAAACCTTCTTTTTAAGATTTTCAAACACCATTTTCAAGTAAATTCTCTGAGTAATTGTGATCCCATCTGATGTTTCTAATTTTCTGAATTTAATTTTTTATTTTTTCATCTCCTTTCAAATGGTCATCTATCAAACAAAAAAAAGATTTTCTAAATTTGAAATAAGTCTTTAATCCTTTCTCATTCTCATTCTTTTCTGGTTTTATGGCTATATTGTGTTAAATATAATTTCATGTTTTTTCCAAACAAGGATTTTCAAAGATTTTAATATTCTTTTTAAAAACATCTGATAAAATTCATTCTTTAATGTGCTTTTATGGCACATTTTAATCCTATAAAATGGTCATATAAATTTTTTTTCTTTATTTTCAAGTTTTCTAATAGTCTTTAATCCCATCCCCAAATCTCATTCTTATGTTGTTTATGGCAAAAAAAAATAATGGTCATAAATGTAAATTTTTAAAACAATTTTCAAGTAATTCTAACAAAGTCTTTAATCCCATCTAAACAAAAATCTCATTCTAAATGTTACTTTTATTTTATTCAATTCCCTTTTTAAATTAATTTTCATATTTCCCTCATTAAAAGGATATTCAAATAATTCTAATTAGTTTTTCCCATCTTCATTCTGAATGTTTTTTAATAAATTGAATTTTTTTTTTTTTCATTGGTTAAAAACATGGTTTTTTCAATATAATTTTTCAATAAACTTTAATCCCATCTCTAAGGTTCTCATTTCTCTGAATTTTTTTTTATGGCAAAATTTAATGGATTTATAAAATAATGGTCATATTTGAAAATTTTTTTTCAAAATTTATTCTCATATTTTAATCCCATCTCCAAGGTTTTGATTTTGAATGTGGTTTTATGGCACAAATAAAAGATATAAAAGCATTTTAATTCATTAAAAGGATTTTCAAATAATTTTAAAATAAATTTTAATCCCATCTCCAAGATTTCAGACAATGTGGTTTTAATAAATGATTTTGTTACATATGTCATTGTTGTGGTTAGAAAATTCAAGAATTCTCATAATCTATCTTCAATGTTTGTAAGATTTTGTTGATGTGCCAAACTAACTCTAAATTTTTGGTTCTATTCTTTCTATAGTTCTATGACACATTTTATTATGTAATATCATTCTTTGTGCTTTCTTATAATTAAAATTTTTGTACTCATATTTCATTTGTTGATCTCAAATCTTTTATAGAATTTTCTTTCAATAATGAAATAAACAAAATTTCTTGTGGAAGTAAAATAAAAACAAAAAATGTTTCCAAACTTGAAATGATTTCATCTCTTTCAAAAAATCAATGTTTAAAAAATCCTGGGTTGAAATTTATATCTGAAAAGGTCTCAAATCAGGTGAAAAAATTTTGATGATATGGAACCACCTCTTAATTGTTTTTGTTCTTGGGTCCAACCCTTACCTTTACCTGGTCTTAACCTGTTGGGTCCCATAATGGACAAATAGTGAACCCCAAGACTAAAATTTGTTTTAAAATAAAATACCACCAATGGTAAATTTTTTTATTCTTTTTTAACTCAACCAAAATACCTTTTTATAGTAAAATTACTAAAAGTACATTTTATTTTAATGACCAACAATACAATTTTATTTTCTGAATGCATGTTTTATTTAAAATCTGAATTTGATTATAAAAATGTTAAAAAATTTCTGTTGATAGTTAAAAAAAAAATATCTGTTCTTTATTTTATTAAAAAATTGTGCTCAAAATAATTTGTCTGTATTTAAAACAAAAAATGGTTTTCAAAATATTTAGATTTTAGCATTTAAAATTTATAGAGGTGTTGATATGCCACATTGTTGAAAATCAATGGAAAAATTTCAAGGTTTAAAATTAATTTTCATTCAAATCTTTATTTATTTCTAAAATTGTTTTTTTGAAAATATCTATATCTCAATGATGCTAGTTAAACAAAATAAATTTTTTGGTTTTATTCAATTAACTTTTTGCAAGTTCAAACTATAATTATTTGACATGGCTGAACATATTTTTAAAGAAATTTCTGAAAAAAAAATGTTTGTTTTCTAGTCTATCAAAATGATAGCATAAGGCAGACCAGTAGAACGTCAGTGGATTGTATAATTTAACCAATTAAAATTTTTCTGTGAAAAAAAATAAATTTTGACATTCAAAACATTTGAATATAAATGATGTAATTTCATTTTGGCTAAAGACTCTCCATTTTCTTTTTTATTCAATTAAATAATTTTATAAACAGGATTCATATAAAATTTTTTTTTGAACTGGATTCTTACCATTTAATCTTGCTAATTTTTAAAATTGTTTTCCATCTGTTGTCTCTGTTTGATTTTATTAAACAGATTAGTAAGGGAGTATGTGGACATTATTTTGAAAAAAAATATTGAATTGTGACTGATGATATCCTTTTATTCAGTCCTTCAAGGTTTCTTATGAAAACACTCTACATCTGAATAAGCTTTCATTGGGAGATTGGAGCTTTTGAAAAGTGTGGAACTAAATTTTAAAAATTTCATTCCCATAAAACATTTGGCCCATTTCATTGCACATAAATAAATTTTGTTTTAGATATGGGTTTTAATTTATAAACACTTTTGTTAAAATGAAAAAATATTTTAAATTTTTTTTATGGTAAAATTAAAAAAAACAATACATATTTATATGATAAAATACCAACAATACAATTTTGAAGCCATAAAATTGTGTTCAAAATATTTCAATTAAATTTCTGCATTAAATGACCCTGGAAAAGGAGTTGATATGAAAGATTAAACAAATTTCATCATTTTTATCAATTTTCATTTATTTACAAAAATATTTCTGAAAACTTTTTCATGATGTATTTTTATAAATATAATGCTGACTTTTTTTATGTGTGTCCATTCATCCATCTGTTTTGATCTTTTTTTCTTCATCTACAACTTAAAATAATAAATCATTAAATACTTTAAATAAAATGGAAAAAAAAATTAAATAAATTCCTTTAAAGTTAATTTAAATTAAATTTGGCCATAAAGCTACATTTAAATTAAATGGTTGTCATTTAAAGTTATTTAAATTAACTAAATAACTCTTTTTTTGTTACATTTAAATTAACTAAATAACTCTTTTATAATGTTCATTTAAATTAACTAAATAAATTCTTTAACCTTTCTTATTTAAAATTAAAATAAATAATTCTTTTAAATGGCAATTGGTAATTGGAGAAAAGATGACAAAAAATTTTAAAAATAATTCTTTAGTAAAAAGCTTATACTTTTATTTTTTATAATAAATGAAATTATTTGAAATTTTTTTATTTGAAACAATTTTCATAAATATATTTTTTTATTTTATTTTTATAACCCTACTAGCAGTAGAGCCCGGTGTTGCCCGGGGATGTAACAGTAAGAGATAGATCAAGTATCGACCATCATAAAGACTGAAAAATAAAATTGACAAAGATTATTGTTTAAGGTTGATGGACACGCATGTCTTAATTAGTTTTTTTTTTTTTTTTTTTTTTGGTCAAACCAAACAAACAAAAAACATTGTTTTCAATCGTTATGAGTCTATCGATTGAATAGAATTTTATTATAAACAATTGTCTTGTAAATGGAATTTTAAAGCATTCTGAATGTAAAAATAAAAAAAAAAAAAGTGTGCAAGACAATAAGAAACACTACCTGCCAAAAAAAAAAAGTGAAGTTTTGTTGAAATCGGTTGAAAAATGTAGGAAATCCGATCCCATATATAAATGAACACACACACACACACACACAAACCAACCTGGGTTTTATAATAAGTATAACTTGATAACTCAATATTAATAAGTATAACTTTTCGATATGAGTTTGTCCCCCTTTCATTAATGCCTCTTAATCGTGTTTTTCAAATTGATTTTGTGCAAAAACAATTGTTTTTTTTTCATTTTTGGCACTGTCAGAACCATAAAGGTAATTTTATGTAGTCCTGTGAAGTTTTGTTGAAATCAGTTGAAAAATGTAGGAAATCCGATCCAATATATAAACGTACAGACACACACACACACACACACACACACACAAATCTGCATTTTATAATAAGTAAGATTAAGTTATGACTTTGTGACAGGATCATAAAGAATGGTGATTTTAAAAGAAAACAAAATTGTTGACAAAATAAATGTAGACAAAATACAGAAGATGGTTGTAATACAAAAAGAAAGATTATGCTGCAATTAAAAGAAAAATAATTTTATTATTTCTAAATTCTTAAAACTTTTATGTATATAGGATGCTGAAGGTAAAAGATTGAAGATCCAAAAGCCCTCCACAAGAGACTTGCCTAAAAAAAAATTAGCAATAAATATAGGGTTATAAGTATAAAAAAATACATTATGATTAGTGTTTACAAATAAAAATAAAAATGAGCTTTATAGTTTTCTAAAAGATAAAAAATTCAGTAATAATCCTAATCCATTACTACCAACCATCCCCAAAGTGGGACAGTGCACATTAAATAGTGCAGGTTAAATAGCAAACCATAAGTACATTTTATGGAATTCTTTTCATCCATTTTGGTTTTAAATTGTCTGGTGTTTTGTTGCTTATGTGCTCAGTGAATAGTCAATTTTTAACCTTTATTACTCTGTGATTTCATTTTCTGTACAAAAAGTTGTGTTGTCATATCCTGCTATGGTAACAGAAAACAACTTTGAGTAAAATTAACAAGAAGGTGACTGCAATTGAAAGGCCTTAAAACAGAATACAGTAGAGAGGGAAT